AAAATTTCTTTTTTTCTCAGTAATTAATTTTATTTTGAGTTTCTGCATATCTCAAACCTGTTTGTACTGTGCAAAGCTCCTTGTAGTAAATTTTTGCATGACACATCCAGGATAAATCAAAGTTAATTTCATTTTGTTTGCAAGAATTGTAGGTTATGGTTTGTGAGGAAACCCTAGATTCATTACAGTTTGCATAATAAGAAGACACTTGAAAAATATAGGCAGAGGACAGTGGGTCACAGGTGATGATTCAGAAAGATTACTACTGTATGTGCCTATACACTGAGTTTAGGGAAAATCCATAATTCCACTGTAAACAAGCTCCACTTTACAGACACTTTACATAAATATGTCAAGATCAAAATTGCACTTTCGTACTCTATTTCAATATAAAACTGAAAACATAACTGCTCTGCATCTTGTGCAGGATCTTAACCTGAACCTCTCCTAAAGATGTTTTGCACAGGTGTCTCAGCAGGGCAGACACAAAGGAGGACAAGTCTGTCATTAGGACAGGAAGAAGGGAGGAGGAGGACACAAAGACAGACAGAGACGAAAGGAGGGAAATAGAGGGTTGAAACAAGAAGTTAAGAAACTACTGATCAAATATAAATTGACCCTGATCATTAAAGAGGGCTGACATGGAGACGTGATCAACCTCGCAAGCTGTTTCCTTGAAATTTTCCATCACAAAAGAGAAGAACGCAAAAGAAAGAAACAACAGTAGAGTGAAAGAATGAGTGTAATAACTGGCGAGGAGTTAATCCCCCTCTGAAGCCACTGGGAATGTTTTCTAGACGGGGCTGCAGCTGGAGACACTGGCACTCCTCCCTGTCTGCCTCCAGTGGGTCTCCAGCGCTCTCCGGTGGCAGAAACAAGAGCTGCAGCTTGGTGCAATTTTCCAAGGAAATTCTCAAGTACAACTCACTCTCAAAATTAATTTCACTCACCATATTCTCCGAACATGAGCAGCGTCCACTGCTTGTACTCCACTAGTTTGGACACCAACTTCACAGCAAGCCAGATGACCAGCATCCCCAACGTGGCATCCAGCAGGAAGTTCATCAGATATCTATGATAAAGGGGATAAATTGCATTCTCAGTGATGGCCCTGGCAGCCAAATACATCTCATCATGATTTGTTTGTGCTGATAAGTAACTCACAGGGAGCATGGGTCCTCTTTGGTGAGCGTGGACAGGAAGACGTTGGCAAAGTGGATGAAAAGAGCACCGATGGCCTGTTTGGACGTGTCGAAAAACCTGGAGAAGAAAGGAAAGGAACCAGTATTGGAAAATGTGAAGCTTTTAATTGTCAGGGTTTGATCAATCCCTGAGAGACGTGAGGGTTCAACTAACAATTCTTTACTTTAATAGACTTTACTCATCGACGTAAGTGTGTAAAATGCAAGGATGTTGGGCAAAATAAAGTAGACAAAGAGGAAAGAAGAAACATTTCTGACCAGATTCTCCACGGTCGTCTGATCCCAACAGGCTCCCGGAACCTCTTCACTGCAAACAAAAAAGCAAACCAATCAATTAATCAATAACTTTCCCACTAGGAGTACGTTTATCCTGCTAAAACCGTAACACAGTTTCTTTGCCGTTTCTTTGTTTGTTTGACCTTCACTGTGAGCCTCATCTCTGCGCAGGGCTGCAGGGCAGAGGGGGAGCGAGGACACATGAAGCGCACACGTTCACATGTGGGTTTTTTTCTCCACGCTGCCACAACACTTCATTCCTCCCCACTGGGCTCAGGGTGAACAGACGCCCACTGTTCCTCTATCTCGCCATCTAACAAGGTCAGAGAATGTGACTCGGCATGTGAAAACAGGAGCAAGGCTTCCTGCAGACATGTTTTACATCTGTAAACTTATAGTAGCAGTGGGTTTTTTTTAGAGCGCAGCATAACTATACACACTTTTCTTCACTTTATACTGCAGTTTTCAAACTTTTTAAACCATTTAAAGTGGTTTCATATGGATTGCTTAAAGGCTGAAACAATTATTATGGATTTAAATAGTGAATTAATCATTAAAGTCGTTCATCAAGATCAATATTTGCTGATTCAAGCTTCTTAAAAGGTGAAAATTTGCTTGTTTTCTTTGCATATCTTCTGGATTTGGACCGATACTCTGACAAGGCAAGTTATGTGAAGATGCACCCTTGAGGTCTAGGAAATTGTGATGGGTGTTTTTCATGATTAAAAAAAAAAAAAAAAAAAATCAGCAACCAACAGTTTAATTAATAATGAAAACAATCATTAGCTGCAGCCCTAGATTACTTACACGTCTACCTTTCTCAAAACTTCAGAGGGTGTGAGGATGATGGTGCCAAATTCCTCTCATGATAGACTGGAAAAACAGGCATTGCACAAACCACCAGATGTCAGAGTACGTATCCAAACATTTGCTCTGAAACTCTGTCAGCTAACAAACTTTCCTCTGCACAAAAATCCTCAAATGTGATGTTTTTTTTTTTAACATAAAACTTTGCATTAAATAGCTGTGGTATCTGCTGGATGTTGAGCCTTTATCAGGACTCTGAATGCAGGAGCGATGACGAGTCAATGGAAGGAAACTCACAAAAATAGCTTTGAGGAAGAGCACTCTAAACACAGATAAGTAAAGGGATGCATGGTGCAGGCACGGCTCGGCTGTGACTTGGCATACTGCCACTTAATGCTCTGCTGCACACAAATAACGCGGTATAAATATAAACAGATGCATGTGCTTCGACCAAGAGGGACACTTGCAAACATGCTGTGAACGGGGAAAAGGGGGGAAAGAGAGGGTGGCGAGGTGGGAGGTATCGATTTCTCTACTAATAAGTAACTGAGTGGAGGTTAGAGCTTATTGATCTCGCTGCCCCCTCAAGGCCTGGCCTAATTCTGCAACACTTCACCGCTCCCAGGCTTCAGCTGCTCTGAACCCTGCTGCTTGATCAGCTGATGAAATCCCCATGACTGCACTGACCTTTTAAACCTACACTCTAATTATTAGATCATACGCCGACACACTCATGAAACAAGTGGATGCTGCACAGGATGCATTTCAGTGCAGTGCTTATGTAAAGTAATTGTCAGAATATGTTTTTTTAATCAACTGACAGCCAAGACACCTGGTGGCTGACTGATAAACAAAACCTTAAACTTAATCCAGGAAGTTGTAAGTAAATCATCACCTGACATATGACTTTGAATGCCTGTGCATTAAAACAAACAATACGGAGCTCCTAAATGGCTCCAGGGCTCCTGTTTGACTCAGTACCAACCCCACCTTTCAGCTTTGACTGCCACAGAAGTATTAACTGTTGCCTGTGGTGCCAAAACTGCTCAGATGCCCAACATTCTCCGAGTCAGCTGCCACAGAATCACAAGTTATTTGGCAGTCAATAGCCATTGTTCAGAGTTAATCCACACTGTGGTTGGGAAGGAGCATCTTGTTTTGCTGTTAAGGGAGGAACCTGAAATTCAGATATACTTCACTTGTGACATAAGGCTGCATCACAATTAAAAACATACAGACAGATACTAACTCTGAAGGTAAAGTTTATTGAAATCAACTGTGGCATTGCTTGGCTGGCACCCAGTGCTATGTTTGCTTAATATTAAATCTCAATGAACAAACATATGGAGATTTTGTCAGTATATTGTTGGCAGGTGTTTTGGGAATTAAGGGACTACAACAACAAAGCCCTGAATCCAGAAAGTGCCATTCTGTCATGGCTTCCTATGGCAGAATCCCCATGGCAGACCTTGCCTTAAAAACATGGCAATTTGTGATACTGCTTTCCTTACAGGCACTCATACTGGTGTGGCAGGCATAACTTGATAATCTATGGTTAACTTGCGTCTAAATGGCGAATTCGGCGTATCGATATGTCACAAAATGAGCCTAGTTTTATTACAACATGTACTTAATGAATGATTGGTACCAACTGCTTCTGCTCTTTGCAGCGGTCCAATCTGTGGACGTGGACGGTGTTTATGGCGTTAACTACTAACAATTAAGCTTAATTATTTCGTAATTTGTTACATTTACAGCATTTAGTTCATGCCGAATTTTAGACAGAACCCTTATTAGTTAGGTAATGTATAAAACTGATCAACTTGGGTTTGCGTTTTTGTCGAGAAGCACCCCAGTGTTAAATTAGCATATTTTTCAATGGAGTTCGGTGCCGAGCTAATGAGGCTCCGCGAAAACAAACGTCAACAAAACGCCACGTGGACTAGTGCAGCCTTTTAAACGCTGGTTTCTGCACTTTGAGTTTCGTTCACCTTCTCCTTGTATAAACACACAAAAGACTGAGATATTTAAGATGTGTTCAGGAACAAGGTGATGTTAACACTCACACATCAGCGTGCTGAAGGCAACGATGGCCAGGAGTCCCTGGATCAGGACGCCGAACCTGTCCGTCAGGGCTCCGTTGTCGCAGCCGTGAGGATTCGCCTTGTTGATGTCGGACATGTTTGTGACTTCAAAAACACCTTTGTCCAGGAACCTCTTCACCAAGAAGACCCCGCTGTATCCGTACATGTCCATGTTGAGGCGATAAAAACAACACGGAGACAAAAGGAGCACTCCCTCGGTGCGCTAAAAGGGCTTAACCTTTCTTTACCAGAGAAAAACAAACCGCCAGATTTTCAACTTCCGGTTTCTGATTCAGGGTGAAGTTTTCCGTCAGTGTTCCCAGAAGATGATGCTACATCTCATGATGCAAAAGCAGACAAGGACATCGATTATCTGACTCATATCCATGTTTATGACAATGAAAACACCAACTGTCAAGTAGCTAGCCGAGATGGAAAGTCTGGCTTCCGGTGAAAAATATTTCAAAATAAAAGACAGCAGCTTGGCAGAAAAACAAAGGGATGGGCTACAAACTGTCAAGTGACACCCTGTTTCCCAACGTGTTCCACAAATATCACATACTACAATTTCAGAGATCCTGACCTAAGGGGCTGGATTAGTCCTCACCTACAAAATGTCACTCAAATTAACACCTACAGCCAGAAGAGACTCAAAATGACCAAAAAGAGATGCAAATGAACTGCAGAAAGACACAAACATACTTCAGAGAGACAAAATAACCACAAAAGGGGAAAAACAACACCAAAGAGACAAACAATGACAGAATAGAGGGCACAAAATTACCTCAGAGTCATAACATTACTTCAAAAAGATGACGTGACTATGAAGAAACACAAAATGACATCAAAGAGATGCAAAACCACAAAAAGAGGCAAAACGACTACAAAGAGATGCAAATTATTAGCCTACAAAGACAAACAACAACAAAAACAGTTAAAAAAAAAGAGAGGTAAGACTTACCACCATATTCATTTTATGTATCTTGAGGGGAAAAAAAATCACATAATTTCATTATTATTTATTTTGGACCACCAGCGTTTTGTTTTATTTTTAAAAACTGATTTATATCTTGGAAAATAAAACATATATATTTATCATTACATTGTAATATTATTTATTTTTGCCCCATCATATTTTTTCATTTATTAACTTTGATGAAAATAAAAAATATTTATTATTTCATTTTATTATATTATAAACATTTTCACCCACCATTTTTTTTTTTCAATTTTCATATTATTTATTTGTGTCGTTTTTACTTATCTATTTATTTTGAGGGGAAAAAAAATATAATTTCATTTTAATATTATGTATTTTGGCCCATTTCTTTTTTTTTTTTCATTTTATTAATTTTGATGAAAATAAAAAAAAATATATTATTTCATTTTATTATACTACATTTATTTTCACCCAAAAAAACACAAAAAGATGCAGAACGACTAAGAGATGGAAAATGACTGAAGACAAAATTATTAGCCTACAACGACAAACAACAACAAAAACAGAAATAACAGACATTAAAAAGAGAGGTAACACCACCACAAGATCTGTATTCCCTTTCACACTGCCTGTTCAGAGCAGGAATAAAGATGGGAAAGCGCCGGCTCTGACCACCTCGAATTTACGACAGAAATTGAGGAATACCTCCGCACAAAATTCTAGACTAATGTTAATGATATTGGACATGGACCCATTTCAATTGTCTTTTCTTAGTCTACTGGTATCTGATCTTAAAATTATTTTGTCTGTTGCCCTTTGAATGGTTTTGTCTGCAGGTGTTTATGCTGCTGTCTTGCTCAGGTCTTGCCTATTTAGGCAAAGTACAATAAAATAATATTTGATCAAACACAAAGAAAGCCAAGTATTCCTTTTTTTTCTTTCCTCCCTTTTATTGTGAAGTAAAAATGACCAAACTTCCGGTTGCGGTTGGTCTGGATTGACGCCGGTATTTGCGGCTTTCAGCAGAATTCCTTGAATGTGCGCGAGACCGCCTCAGAGCCTCTCTGTTTGTGCGTGTGGCACTTAGTCGTGCGCGAGGCAAATCTGTGCCTCACGTGAAGATGTAATAAAGGATATATGTTCAAGTCCACAGTGTGTCGGGTAACCTACAACTCACTGTGCTCTGTATGTATGAATCACCATGAGAGGCTATGTGATTCCTAATTACTAAAGTACCTGCGTGGTGCCAGTGTAGAGACGTAGAGAGGATTATACAGCCTAACTGAAGCCACACAGGTAGGAACAGAGCCAACATGGAGGCTTACAGTATACAGCTCAGTGAAGACGGTCAGGGATATCATTGGTTGTCCAAGTGCTCTGATTGGTTTAGTTTTAAAGGCTTCAAAATGTTTTGGGAAAATAAAAGTCAGGTTTGATTTTGGGTCGTTTCAGACACATTTGTCATGGCATCATTATATCCTGCTGAGACCCTGTGTCCACATCTGAGGACATCACATCTTGGGTTTAATGGACCTTATACTTTATCCTACTTAACTTAGACCTGTTGTCCTCATTCGTAGACACTTTTGTGCCATCTAGTGATAGTAAGAGCACAATACACTAATCTATGTAAAAACAAGATGGCAGCCATCTCTGCCAAGTCAGTCTGCAGCTGATCCCGACACAAACATGGACAAAGTCCAAAACCTGATCACATTTTATGGTTTTTATTCATGATTAATGATGTTTGTAGTTTGATATGGCAACAAAGTTGACCAATTTTAGTAACAGTAACAAGCTGAGACGGTGTTAATTAGGACGTACTCACTTGAAGACATTGGACTTAATTATTGTTGAAAATGATTTGTTTTTTACACTTATCAGGTCCTACTGATCCCAAATAGCCAGGAGAAATTAAAAATGCACACCAAACAAAAGTTCTGGTCTCAGGAGGATATAGGAGAGTGTAACCATTTCCTCTTCTGTAACCTACTCACCTACCAAGTAGTACACCAACTTCATCAACTAGGTTGAGGTTCCTGTGCCAGAAAATTTGGAGCATGAGACACCCATTTTAAAATCCATCTACCTACCTACCTACCTGCCTGCCTGCCTGCCTGCCTACCTACCTGCCTGCCTGCCTGCCTGCCTGCCTGCCTGCCTGCCTGCCCGTCCATCCATCCATCCATCCATCCATCCACCTGCCTGCCTGCCCGCCCGTCCATCCATCCCTCCATCCAATTACCTACCTGCCTGCCTGCCTGCCTGCCTGCCTGCCTGCCTGCCTACCTACCTGCCTGCCTGCCTGCCTGCCTGCCTGCCTGCCTGCCTGCCTGCCTACCTACCTGCCTGCCTGCCTGCCCGTCCATCCATCCATCCACCCACCCATCCATCCATCCATNCCTACCTGCCTGCCTGCCTGCCCGTCCATCCATCCATCCACCCACCCATCCATCCATCCATCCATCCACCCACCCACCCACCCACCCATCCACCTGCCTGCCTGCCCGCCCATCCATCCATCCCTCCATCCAATTACCTACCTGCCTGCCTGCCTGCCTGCCTGCCCGTCCGTCCATCCATCCATCCACCCACCCACCCATCCACCCATCCATCCATCCATCCACCTGCCTGCCTGCCCGCCTGTCCATCCATCCCTCCATCCAATTACCTACCTGCCTGCCTGCCTGCCCATCCATCCAACTACCTACCTACCCATCCATCCATCCATCCATCCATCCAACTAACTACCTACCCATCCATCCATCCACCAACCATCCATCCAACTACCTACCTACCTGTCTACCTACCTACCTACCTACCCATCCATCCTCCATCCATCCATCCAGCTACCTACCTACCTACCCACCCATCCATCCATCCAGCTACCTACCTACCTACCTACCTACCTACCTAACCATCCATCCATTCGTCCATCCATCCATCTACCTACCTACATGTCTACCTACCTACCCATCCATCCATCCATCCATCCATCCATCATCTATCTATCTATCTATCTATCTATCTATCTATCTATCCATCCATCCATCTATCTATCTACCTACCCACCCATTTGTATCTCAAAAATCTGTCAAAATAAAAGTCCTCTGCTACTGTCTTGTTTTATTCGGGGTGACAAATAACATGCTCTAAATATTGAGGGAGACGTGTCCCCTGTCTCCACAAAATCTGTTATTATGAAACTCTCCCTAGCTGCAGGAAGAAAGTTCTGGCACAATAACTTGAGGATAAATACAGTTCTGTCAGTGCTGAACTGACCTACACAGCTATTATTTTTGTTTTAAATACTACACTGCTTATTAGTGCATGGAAGCTTATGGTTCTGCCAGGTTGGTCGGAGATTTTAGATTTAGTTGCCTTAAGAAATAAATCCCTTGCTTTATTTGACAACAAAATACATACAGGACCCAGACTGGCTCTGAGAATAAGTTTTGATAATTTACTGTAGTTGACTGAAGCTTAAGAGGAGGCTGAAAAAATCTGCTTCATAAAACCAGAGGCGTTTATAAATGAAGCCAAAACCAAAAACGGTCCTCTGCCTCGTGCAGGGAAGCTGTGGGCTCATGCACAAGTCGCACGTGTGTGTGTGTGTGTGTGTGTGTGTGTGTGTGTAAGAGGGGGGCATAATCCCTTCTCGCGCGCGCTTGGAAAAGCCTCTTCTCTGGCAGATTAATGGCGCACGGCGCACGCTCCAACCATCTGTTCCTCCAGCGGCATCACACCGGCACGAGCGCCTCTTCTTCCGTCTTTATGATTCCTTTGTGTCGGTCTTTATCAATCACACCTGCCGCCGATAATTCAACACCCAACTTCCCCTTAGATTACAGGTTTCAAAATAAAATCCCTTCATGCAGTTATGAACAAATGTCTCACTCTTTGTCATAACAGAACTAATACTTACAGCCTGTTCTATATGGAATCTTTGGTGACTTAATGTGCCTTAAGCCTTAAAACTTTTTGCCTACTATTCCCTTATAATTAAGTAAATGTATAATGACTGGTTGTTTAACTTAAAGGGGTTTTTAGGCTGAAGCTGTCCAGAATTTCCACATTAAAAGAGGTTTAAAAAAATCACAAAAAAAAAAAACAAACAAAAAGCATTGATCTCTTATCCCTTTAATTATCTGGTGACACCTCAGACTTTGGGGACCTTTGGGGGTTCTGACCCACAGACTGAGAGCCTGTACCCCTGTTTTACACGAGGTCTTTGATGAATTTATGTGCTTAAAGCTTTAAACTTTTGGCCTTGTGGTCCCTTAAAATTAAGTAAATGTATAAAGTGATTGGTTGTTTAATTTAAAGGGTTTTTTAGGATGAAGGTGTCCAGAATTTCACCTTAAAAGAGCAAAAAATTCATAAAACTCACAATTCTGACAGAAAAAGATATAAAGATATCCCCTTAATTGTCTGGTGAGTCCTCAGATTTTGTGGACCCTTGGGGGGTTCTGAGCCACAGATTGAGAACCAGCCCAGCCTGTTTTATATGGAGTCTTTGGTGACTTTATGTGCTTTAAGCCTTAAACCTTTTTGCCTTGTAGTCCCTTAAAAGTAAGTAAATGTATAAGGTGATTGGTTGTTTAATTTAAAGGTTTTTTTAGGATGAAGGTGTCCAGAATTTCACATTAAAAGACGTTTAAAAAATCACAAAACTCAAAATTACAACCCCACAATTCTGACAGAAAAAAATCCCTTTAATCATCTGGGGACCCCTCAGAGTTTGGGGACCCCTGAGAGGTTCTGAGCCACAGATTGAGAACCTTTTCAGACTGTTTTATATGGAGTCTTTGGTGACTTTATATGCTTTTGGTATTAAACTTTTTTTTTTGCATTCTTTTCCCTTAAAATAAAGTAAATGTATAGAGTGACTGGTTAAGGGATTTTAGGCTCAAGGTGTCCTGAATTTTACATTAAAAGAGGTAAAAACAATTCACAAAAACTCAAAAAAGGACAATTCTAACAGAAAAGGCAGAGTCTATTCTTTTTGTCTCTTAATCCCTTTAATCATATGATGACCCCTCACATTTTAGTGTGCCTTGGGAGATTCTGGCCCACAGATTGGGAACCTTTCCAACCTGTTTTATGTGGAGTGTTTGATGACTTTATGTGTTTTAAGCGTTAAACCTTTTTGTCTTGTGGTCCCTTAAAATTAAGGAAATGTAAAGAGTGAGTGGTTGTTAAATTTTAAGTGGTTTTATTAGACTGACGGTGTCCAGAATTTCACATTAATAGAGGTAAGAAAAAAAAAATCACAAAACTTGGAAAACCCCACAGTTCTGACAGAAAAGACAGAGGCTACTCTTGTTGTCTCTTATCCCTTTAATTGTCTAGTGACCCCTCAGATATTGTGGGGACGCTCTGGGGGTTCTGACCCACAGATTTAGAGCCTGTCCCCCTGTTTTATATGGAGTGTTTGATGACTTTATGTGTTTTAAGCCTTAAACCTTTTTGCCTGCTATTCCCTTAAAATTAAGTAGTTGTATAGAGTGACTAGTTATTTAACTTAAAGGGTTTTTTTAAGGTTGAAGGTGTCCAGAATTTCACACTAAAAGAGGTAAAAACAATTCACAAAAACTCAAAAAAGGACAATTATGACAGAAAATGCATAAGCTTTTCTTTTTGTCTCTTAACCCTTTAATCATCTGGTGACCCCTCAGACTTTGGGGACCAACAGGTTGAGAACCGCATGCCTTAAAACCACAGTTTAGTCAGAAATATAACTTGCAGAAAACCCTTTAATTTCATATGTTGCAATATAGTTTTAGGTTACTTACATGGCTCTATCTACCTATTTATTTTTAATTTCCATTTCCACCCTGTTCCAAGTCAGTCAAGTCAAACAGACAGAATTTAGGCAAAAAGATTAATATGCATCACTTTTTTCGAATATATGAGTTATTCATACGAGAACACAGCTATTGCATTTGAGTTTCATGAGCTCGGCCGGGTGTAACAGTGAAAGTCGGGGAATTCTGGTGATTTTTTTAGGGGATTCCCAGCAAAATATGCTGTGTAACAAACCGCCCAAAGGCCCACTGCACAATAGACTATAACAGACCTGACTTTCATTTATGTCGCATGCTGTTCCTAAATGTCAAGAGTGAACTTCCACGCCTAAAGAGGAACATGCTACTTTAATTTCACTCAGGCCCAAATTAGAAATTGCGCCGACAAACCCTCGTGTTGTATCGGCGGTGATCACAGAGCCACGGAGCTTTCACTTGGACTTGCCAAAAAACATCCACCATGTTGTGCATGTATATCCTCACTGCCTCACCTCCACTGGCTGCGGTGGTAATCTGTCTGTTTATGGGTCTTTATGGAAATATGCTCCAACCTTTGCACCAAAGGCATGACGGTTAAACGTGATGCAATGCGCTCCTACCACTAGAGGATACTGTTGACTTTGACAAGACATGGCCCCGTTAAAAAAACAACATGTGAGGGTATTTCTCAAGAGCTGTTTGGAGCAAAGTGTTTGCCAGAAGAGAGAAAACAGAAATAAAGGAAACCCAGCAGAGCAGAATGAACCGGTCAGAGGAGCAAACGGTTGTAAAGCATAATAATGTACTGACTTTTGTGGTTGTGCATGCACAGAGGCAGCAAAAGATGAGGAGGAATTTGTATTTTTGCTATAGTTATATATATTTGCATAAAATATTTGCACTTGTATTGTTGATTTTGTGATTGTTTTCTTCCTGTTGATGATGAAACACAAATGAATTGTGGTTGTTGGGTTGGAAAGCTGTTTTAAACTGAAGTAAAATGATAGATTTAATTAAATTTGAGTTTTAAAAAGATGAATAATTAATATTTGGGGTATGGGAATATGTAAGTTTGATTAAAAATAAGGTTTAATGCGCGTAAAAATACAGTTTCATCGCGTAATAGGCAGTTTCCCGCCGCGGTGTGTTTGTTCCTTATTTCTAACAGCCTGGAGAAATATTTTTCTGCTGCTGCACTAAAAGCTCCATGAAGGAGTTGGCTTGAAAAATATCTGTAGATGTTTTTTTGGACATGCGCAGATGGGAGATGCCATATTGGAACGGGGGCAGCAGCAGCTGAAAGACGTCGCTCGCGTTGCTGTGCTCGAGCTCACGCGAACGAGGAGAGGAGCGAGAGAGAGGGGAGGAAAAAAAAACAGACGGGGGTCTCGAGACGGAGAGGCGACCAGAAAAAAAAAAACTTGGACAGGTAAGACAGGTGACGGCTCCGGCGGTGCGGGGAGGCTTTTCCGTGCTTGCTGCGGTTTGTTATTTGCGTTATGTCGACGGAATAAACACGGCGGAGAGTTATTTCTCTCCTCCTTCCCTTTAAAAAAACCATGAAGTGCTCCCGAGGCGGTTACTGTAGAAACGAGAAAATAGTCGCGAGCGTTCGTTCACGAGCCTTAAGTTGTTCAAAGTGTCTCTCACGCGCTGTAATTAACAGCTCTCACCGGCTGGGAGGACGCTGTCTCGTGGCACTCGTGGTAATACGCTTTTTATTGCGTTGTTTTCCCTCTCTGTGTGTGTGTCTGTCATGTTCACAAGTGTCCCAGAAATATGGTGAATTTTTAATATTCTGCAGTAAGCTTTAATTTAAAGTGTTTCATGCTGCGTTCAGCGACGCAATTTTTTTGTTTGACGCCGCCGCGAAGTTGTTGTCACAGATTAACATTAGAAACGACTTATTGCGGATTCTCGCGCACACATGAGTCATTTGGGATTTTTTTCGTCACCCCAAGGTGCGTGGAAAAAAGCCATCGGAAAATACCGGACACTGCCAAAATGTCAAAGCACTTTCAACATGGCGGGTTCTGGTGTTGAGGGGGGAAAACTGCGCCTTAAAATCTTTGAACGAGGAAAAAATAAAACGACGACAGATAACGCGCCCGGGTCGGTTTCTTTTGATGGACACACACGAGGTGTAATCAATTAAATTCGAAGTGTGCATTTGGCATTTCCGTGGGAGTTTTTTTCCGCTGCAGTTTTGAGTGTGCAAAGTACATGACCGGAGTGGCAGGCAGCCTGCTGGTCGGCTACACCCCTCACTGCCTCATCTTCCTCATGTGCACTTAACGTTTCCTCTTTCACTTTTATCCAAAAAATGCTCGAGCTCGTGCGACTCGTCCCTTACCAACACACATTATATTACATTAATATCGGGTTATTTTCTGATCAAGCCGACAGCAGGATGATTTAATTGCACATTTCGGCTGTAATCTTAGATTAATATGTTTGTGATTGTACAGTGGGACGAGTTTATTGTGTCTCCGTGGGTACATTTGCACCGATTAAGCAGATAATTGGGTTAAACCGCGCGTATCTGTTTAATTATTTCTCTTTTGCGTGCGGTCTGCAAATCCGAGCTTTAGCAGCTTTGCATTATGCGAGGATTCCTCCTGCAGATTAAAGCCGTCACCATAATGAAGAGAAACAATAACGACTGCGTTATGGAGCCGCCGAGACACGTTCATGTGCGTGGAATAAATCATGCTCTCACACTTCTTGTTTCTCCAAACATATTTGAGGTGTGAGTGGTGATGGGCGAGCGGCAGGAAATGCCCCACAGTGAGCACTGTGAAGGGGAGATATAACGCGTAGGCATGAAGGTAGACATATATGATCCGCTGTGTCCAAGGGAGAGGTGATCGATATGCTGCATTGATACATTATTGATGCTTTGGACTGGAAGAACCTCCCACCGCCATTTTTATCATCCAGCAGGTTCTGATGAGCCTCTGTATGCTAATGACGATGATGATGATGATGATGATGATGTATCAGTGTTTAAGACTCACTGTAAAGAGACAGAGGCTGTCACCTCACAGGAAGTTATGAGGTCAGGAGGCTTTCTTTCTTTCTCTCTTTCTTTTCTGTCCTGTCATTTCTTTCCTTTCTGTCTCTTTTCTTTCCTTCTTTCTGTCCTTTCTTTTCTGTCTCTCTTTCTTTCATTCTTCCCTGTCATTTCTTTCCTTTCTGTCTCTTTTCTGCCCTTTTTCTTTCCCTCTTTCTTTTCTGTCCTTCTTTATTTCTTTTCTGTCTTTTGTATTTTCTTTATCTATTTCTTTCATTCCTCCCTGTCATTTCTTTCCTTTCTCTTTTCTGCCCCTTTTCTTTCCCTCTTTCTTTTCTGTCCTTCTTTATTTCTTTTCTGTCTTTTGTCTTTTCTTTCTCTCTTTCTTTCATTCCTCCCTGTCATTTCTTTCCTTTCTGTCTCTTTTCTGCCCTTTTTCTTTCCCTCTTTCTGTCCTTCTTTCTTTCTTTATTTATTTTTCTGTCTTTTCTGTCCTTCTCTTTCTTTTTCTTATATTTCCTGTTCCATCATCTCTATCTTTATTCTTTCCCCTTTCTTTTTCCTTCTTTCAGTCCTTAATTCTTTCTGTTCTGTCTCTTTTCCGTCCTGTTTTCTTTCTGTCTTTATTTTTTCTTTCTTTCTCTTTTTCTTTCCTGTTCTGTCATGTCTATCTTTCTTCTTTCCTCCCTTTGTTTTCCTTCATTCTTTCTCTGTCATTCTTTTTTTCTCCTTTCTTTTCTTTTTCTATCTTTCACCATCATTATTTCATTCTTTCTCTGTCATTCTATCTTTCAGAAAACTTTTTTGTCTTTTCTTTCTTTCTCTTTCTGTCTTTATTTCTTTTGTTCTTCATCATTCTTTCTCTTTCTATCTGTCTCTCTGTCTCTGTGCTGACAGACAGTCTCTGGGCCTGTGTGTGAATGAGAGGACTTTACAGGCCCACTGTCAGATTTGACCTCTCATGTTGTTGTTAGTAGACAGACTCAGTCTCAAAGCTGCAGGTAGTGTTGTTTATGTGTACGTGTGTGTGTGTGTGTGTGTGTGTGTGTAGGAAGTTGTTTCCAGTCACTGATGTTGAAATTAGAAAGCTCCGGGCTCGGGGAGTTCCCGCCCCCTCCTCACCCTCTGGCTGCTGCTGCCTCACAGTTTCTCCTGGTGTTTTCGGCTCCACCAGGGGCAGTTGCTGTTTGCACTTCATCATTTTATAGTTAGCTGATCTCAGCGAGCATCACAGGCTGTCGTAATTGGGCATGAAACACACAGGCTGCATTGTGTACACGTTTAAAAAACAGCAGGAATCAAGAGGGAGAAACAGAGGGCAAATTGTTGCATCGGGGCCTCCTGTTGCTGAGAGGAAACAACCCTTGGATGGGTCTAAAAGAGGAGAACCTAATAGGGAGTAATGCAACAAAACCCCAAGCCCATGCAGTGGTAGTTAATCTCCTAAATCCCCCATTAAATCTTTGGCATGGACAGGTTTAGGGAAAGGCAGGAGACAACATGTGGATGCCCAGCGACCCATCAGGGGCTAATCAATAAAAAAAACCTCCCCTCAATCTGAGACCACGGGGACGCAAATGTCCTGAGATTAACTCTCCCAGACCAGTTTAATCCCCTTGTGCCCAATCTGGACTGTTTCCTCCAGGCCAGTAAGCTTCATCAAGTACAAACGCTGCTCCAAAAAGAGTCGCTGTGGTTCAGGGATAAAGACTGAGTCAAAGAGTCGACATTGACAGCGACCTTCTGCCAAAGCCCGTGGATGGTTTTCTGCTCCTGAGGGTTATAAAACTAGTTTAACCAGTGAGGGACCACTGAAAAAACCTCTCTCACAGGGAGCTGGGAGGGTAAAAAGACTTTTTAAGGGTTTTTTCTCGCTGATTAATTATAAAATGTCACTTTTTTTTAGAGGAGAATGGAGAATTTAGCAGTAAAGTTTATTCAAACTGCTAACACCCACAGAAAATCTACTTTATAGGCCCCATAATGGCAGAAACATAAATGTGGGTTGGCTGTGTGTTAGAACAGAAAGCATTCTTCAAGACCTCGGGGGAACTGTACGATACGAAGAGTAAAATATGTGACCTTTTTTAAATTCCAGAGGACATCCAAAAGTTTGCTCAGATAATAAATATGTCAGGGTGAATTTTGGGGAAATGAGCAATGCAGTCCAAAAGTATTTGGACAGTGACACATTTCCTGTTTTGCTGGCTCTGCGCGCCGTCCAGCAGAGTGAATCTGAAATGAAACAACTTTCAGCTTTAAGGATTTTTTTTTTAACGGCTGTTTTCTGTATCTGTGTTGAGCAATCAGCGTCAGAGCAGCCGTGCCCTGTTTTTATACATATTGCCTCCAATTTCATGTCTTCAGCTCCTGCACTTTTCTTCTGATGTGGTCGTTAAAAGCCTCTAATTAAAGCTCAAAGTCAGCTCTTTAACCGCAAAGTCTTTGTTTCGTTTTAAAGTCAATGTGCTGCAGTGGAGACAAACAATTCAAGCTGTCATGAATGTATGTAGGGAAGGGCAGCACTGAATGTAATATATCCAATAGGGCTACAATTAACCATCATTTGCATTATTAATTTATCAGTTCATTATATTTTTGATAAATAAATTAAATTGTTTTTGGTGAAAAATGTTCCCAGAGCCCAAAGTGGTGTCTTCAAATCGACTGTCTTATGTGATTAGCTGTGCAAAACCCTAAAAATATTCAATTTACAATCAAGCTGCAACAATTAAATGACTAGTTATCGATCACTAAATTAATCGGCAACTCGTTTGACATTCAGATAATCGGTTTGGGTATCTTTTTATGCATGGATGGATTACTGGACGCCAGGCTTCCACCTGCACAATGTGACCTAAATTACCACAAACAGATCAGGGGTCTCATTTATAAACATTGCGACGCACAAAACAAGGCCTGAAAGAGGTGTACGCCACTTCCCATGCAAAAGCTGTGATCTTAATAAACAGATCTTATGGGAGAAACTTTGACCCATGCTTACGAACATTTTGGAGAGAGGAAATCGGCGACGTAGATTGTGAGGTGAAACTGATTGTAGGAACAGTCAAATATTTTTTGGTGTACACCGTTTTTGGCTTTTGTCTGTATGTATATTTTTAGTATGGATCCTACGCACTGTTGTACAAATGAGATCCCAGGAGGAGACACAAAATGGCCACAAAGAAACATAAAACAACTACAAAGAGACAAAAAGATAATTTAGAGGCACAAAAACAACTACAAAGAGATGCAAAACAGCTGCAAATAGATTCTAAATGACAACAAAGAGACTCAAAATGACTACAAAGAGACGCAAAGCACCTATAACTCACTCATAATGGCTACAACAAGATTCAAAATGACTTTAATAAGACAGAAAGCAACTTCAAAGAGACGGACAGCAACTACAAAGA